CCTAAGTTTTTGGAGTCATATTAAATAAACAGTTGCTAATTGAAATGGCATAAGACTTTTTCCATGTATTTTATTCTAAGAGTTTTATAGTTTTAGGTTTTATGCTTAGATCTTTAAACAGTTTTTAGTCATTTTTTAATACTGTAAAGTAAGAGTCCAGCTTTTTTTTTTTTTTTTGCATGTGGATATGAGTATTCCTAACAGTTGTTGAGGAGGCTTATATTTCCCCACTGAATAGGCTTGCCACTGCTATCAAAAATCATTTGAACATATGCACAAAGGTTGTTTACTTGCCTTATAAATATCATTTTAAAAATTTATGTTCCAAAGGTATATTGATAATCTACAGAAATTAAATGAACTTTACGTTAAACATGTACACAGCAGATGAGTGAAGTTCACTGAAAGATTTTTAATATGTTCAACATACATTCTGCACAGAAAGACATTTGTGCTTCTTCTTTTTGCATTTTGTTTTGTTAAATTGCACCGATTATGACTTCCAATAAAATGGTACTAGAATTGGTAAGAGCAGACATCTTTGCTACATGCTCAACTTACAGGAATGGTTTGAAATTTTAAACTTAAGTATAATGATGGATATACATTTTCAGCTTGTATTCAGATAATGATCTTTCTATTCTTGGTTTGCTGAGGTTTCTTAAATCATAAATAGATTTCATAGCTGACTTTTTTTGTACTCTCCTATTGAGGTAATTATATTATTTTTCTCCAAGTTTTCCTTAGTGTGCTCAATTATACTGCCTTTTTGATTAATAAACGAATTTCGAGCTAATGGAATAAAATGGATATGGTCATGGTGTATTATCCTCTGTATAGTACAGAAACAGAGTTGGTAATATTTGGCCAAAGACTGTTGCATCAATGCTCATAGAAGTTACACATTTTACGGTCACTTGTTCTGGCAGCCTGAATGTACTAAGGCACTGAGTTTAAGTAAAGCAATAATAGAATATATATATATATATATGCATGTATATTATATACACACAGAGCATATGTTCTCTGTTTTATATCTTTTTCATTTATATACTTTATAACCCTTTGTAAATGTAAAAAACAATCTCAGTTCTTAGGCTAAACAAAATCAGGTTGCAGACTGAATGTTCTTTACATACTATAGTTTGCCAACCCTGTACAATTAACAGCAATTTTAATCCACATTTCTAGTTACCTCAATTTAGCTCAAAAAAGAAAGACCAGTAGCCTCCTCATCATAAATGCAAACATGCATACATACATAGATACATATATATATATTATGTACACATATTTATGATGAGGAGGCTACTGGCCTTTCTTTTACATATATATGTATGTATTTTTATATTGTTTTACATATATAAATACATATATATGTATTTTTATACATGTAAGTACATACATACATACATATATATGCATTTATATGTTTGTGTATAGCATATATATTCTCCTTATTATAAATATGTAATATGTAATATAATATATATGTCTTATATATTCATTAAAATAAATATGTATTTACGTGTGAATATAAACAGAGTGTATAGTCTCATTATTTATATATTTATATATATTTATAATAAGGAGCATACTGGTCTTTCTTTGTTGAGCTAAACTGAGGTAACTAAAAATGTGGATTAAAATTACTGTTAATTGTACAGGTTTGGCAAACTATAGTCTGCAATGTACATTCAGTCTATAACTTGATTTGTATAGCTTAAGAATGGAGAATGGTTTTTACATTTACAAAGGGTTATAAAATATAAAAACAAAAAGAAAGATAAATGTGCAATAGAGAACATACGTTCTATAAATCTTAAAGTATTTATTCCTTAGCTGTTTGCAAAAAGAGCTTCCCAACTCGTCACACAGGAAATAATAAAAATAATATATTATTGTTTCCACATAAAATTAGAAAAAAAATCTAAAGATTTAATGGGCCACAATTTTAATTTTATAGTAGGCATAATATTGAGATTTATTTTAATATTTTGTTTTATTTAAGGTCTGGGATACATGTGTAGGAAGAGCTGATTAGAGGTATATTTTTCCAATAAATAATGAGAGTAAGTTATCCAGAATATTTTGTGCTCCATATATTAGTATATATAGGCTGGGCATGGTGGCTCACGCCTGTAATCTCAGCCTGTAATCTCAGCACTTTGGGAGGCTGAGGTCGGCAGATCACCTGAGTTCAGGAGTTTGAGAGCAGCTGGCCAACATGGTGAAATCCCGGCTCTATTAAAAATACAAACATTAATTGGGCATGATGGTAGTCTCCATCCCAGCTACTTGGGAGACTGAGGCAGGAGAATCGCTTGAAAGTGGGAGGTGGAGGTTGCAGGGAGTGGAGAGCCCGCCATTCCACTCCAGCCTGGGCGACAAGAGTGAAACTATTTTCTCAAAAAAAAAATGTATATTCAGTAGTATGTCACGTGCACACGTGCGCACGCTCACACACACAGAGAGAGAGAGAGAGAGAGAGAGAGAGAGAGAGAGAGACAGAAGCAGAGACAGAGAGAGTAAATCAATGGGATCTTGTGTTATATAAAGAAAGTTTAAAAAGGAATTAGGCATCAGGGATTTTTCTCTTGGAATACTGCTTCCAAACCATAAGCAAGGTCAGCGTAGCCTACTAGAGCAGCAAAAAGAAATGTACAGCCCATTGGCCAAATCTGGCTTGCTATCTGTCTTAGCTTCTTAGTGAGTTTAGGCTTCAGTAACAAACTACCAGAGTGGGTGACTTCAAGAACAAACATTTCTCACAGCTCTGTAGGCTGGGCAGTCCATGATCAAAGTGCTAGCAGATTCTGTGTTTGGTGAATACCCACTTCCTGGTGCATAGATGATTGTTGCACTCTGTGCTCACATAGCAGAAGGATAAGAAAGCTCTCTAGAGTATTTTCTTATAAAACAAACTCCTGAGAGCTCCACCCACAGGACCTAATCACCTCCCAAATTTTCCACCTCCTAATACCACTGCTTTGTATCATAGCAACATACAAATTTTGAGGAAACATAAGTCTGGAATTTTCTGTTTTTATACATTTTTATTGAAACATAGCCACAATCAATTTGTTTATACATTTTCTACGGCTGTTTTCACATTACCATGGGAGGATTGAGAAGTTGTATTTCAGACCCTGTAGCCCACAAATCTTAAAATATTTACCATCTGGCTCTATGTGGAAAAAAATGCTGAACCTTGTATTAGACAATGAAAGTCACATGGAAGAAAACCAAGGCATACCTGCTAACTGGGAGCACCAACTGCTAAAGATGTGAGTAAAACTACCTTGAACCTTTCATTCCAGCCTAACTCCTAGAGTGGCTGGTGTATTAGTTAGGGTTCTTTTAGAGGGGCAGAACTAATAACATATATATGAAAAAAGTTTGTAAGTATTAACTCACAGGATCACAAAGTCCTACAATAGGCTGTCTACAAGCCGAGGAGCAAGAAGAGCCAGTACAATTTCCAGAACTGAAGAACTTAGAATCCAGTGTTCCAGGGCAGGAAGCATCCAGCACAGGAGAAAGATGTAGGCTGGGAGGGTAAGCTCATCTCTCCTTTTCACATTTTTCCACCTGCTTTATATTATCTGACAGCTGATTAAATTGTGCCCATCATATTAAGGGTGAATGTGCCTTCCCCAGCCCACTGACTCAGATGTAATCTCTTTTGGAAATACCCTCAAAGACACACCCAGGATCAATACTTTGTATCCTTCAATCCTATAAAGTTGACAGTCAGTATTAACCATCACACCTGGGAACAATCAGGTTGACAGTCAGTATTAGCAGCCATACCTCGCACCAGCTAAAACCAGGAGAGAATCACTCAGCTAACTCACAGAATCATGAGAAGTAATAAACTACTATTGCTCTAAGTCACTAAGATATTGAGTTGATTTTCACACAATGGAAGACTAAAACTGGTAGCAAAGTTGGGATGCTGCTGTAAGAATAAAATGTGTGGCACTGGCTTTGGGATTATGTGGCAGATAGAGATTGAAAGGACACAGGCAAGATGGTAGGTGGAGGCTGGCAGTGGACTGAGAAAATTATTATTCAGGGTTAGATGAAAAGCATACCTGCTTTGTATTGGCAGAAATTCGGAAAACAATATTCCTTCAGTAACTTGGAAAAATGGAAATATTTATTACATTGCCTTTGAATCTGGCTGAGGGCTGTTCTGGCAGAATGAATAAAGTGTCGGCTGGCACCCTCTCGGTTGCAAACAGTACCTTTTGGGTTGAAAAATAAAATTGTTTCTTCTCCCCAGTCTCTCAGTAAGGGAGGCGGGGGATGTCCAAAGAAATAAGTGGGTCTTTATGCAATGATTTAATTAAGAATGAGACTCTAAGACCTGTTTTTAAGACCCTATAAAGAATTTTAGTATTGCCTGGTATACCCACTCAGCTAAGTTAAAAGACTTATAGGAATCTTAAAATATCTGTACTAAGTAGCCTACCACATGTCCCAAGGTCAGCGGTGGTTCAACAACCAGCTGTGAGCGGTGAGTATAGGCATCCTTATTTGTAGCATGCACATCGTGTAACTACTCCCAACTCACTAAGAGCTCACAAAACACCTAACATTGAACAGTTGCGTCTTACCAGCTAGTAGCAGCTGGGTCCTGAATTTCACTGTAAATTAGACACACAGGATTCTTAGTGCTAGAAACCATCACTTTTTGTGAGTATGTTGTATAAACTGTCTCATACTCTCAACTTCATTCTTTCTGAAATTACAATGTTCTGTGGAAATAGAGGCATGAACTGAGAGTGACAAAAAGGAATTCAGAGAAGCTGTGATCTTTGAGAAATCAGAAGCCTCTGCAGAATAGCTTTACAGAAAAGACAAAGTTTTGAGAAAAGCACAATTATTTCCATGAGAAAAAGAGGATCTCTGAGAGCAAAAGCAGCAGGTACATGCCTACAGGAAGTTTACATGGGACAAAATGCCTTATTAGTTCTTGGTTTTTGTCTTTCCAGATTTGGTGTACAAGGGAGAGAAAGAACGTGGAAGGCACTGTACAAGAGTGGACACTGACACAGAGCGTTGCTGACTGAATGTTTATGTCTCCTCAAAGCCCTATGATGAAATCATCACCATTAAGGCAGTAGTAGGAGGTGCTGCATCCTTTGGGAGGTGATTAGGTTGTAAGAGTGTAGCCCTGGTGAATGGGATGAGTGCCTGTATAAGAAACATGAGCATGCTGGACGCGGTGGCTCGCCTGTAATCTCAGCACTTTGGGAGGCCAAGGCAGGCAGATCATGAGGTCAGGAGATCGAGACCATCCTGACCAACATGGTGAAACCTGTCTCTACTAAAATACAAAACTTAGCTGGGTGTGGTGGCGGGAGCCTGTAGTCCCAGCAACTCGGGAGGCTGCGGCAGGGGAATCGTTTGAACTCTGAAGGCAGAGGTTGCAGTGAGCCAAGGTCGCACCACTGCATTCCAGCCTGGCGACAGAGAAAGACTCCGTCTCAAAAAACAAAACAAAACAAAAACAAGCGCTCATTCAGTTTCTCTTTCTTCCTCTGTCTCTCTGTTCTTTTCCAAGTGAGAATACAATGAGAAGAAATCCATCTGTAAGTCACGGAATGGCCCCTCATCAGACATCAGATCTGTGTGCATCTTGATCAAGAATTTCCCAGCCTCCAAAACTGCAAGAAATACATGTTTGTTGTTTAAGCCACCCAGTTTGTGGAAAGCTGTTAAAGCAACCCAAATTATTTAAGATGTAGACGACCAAAATGTTTAAATTCTTTGAGAAATAAAGCAGGAAGGCAGTTTGTAACTGTAACTGTGGCTGGTTAATTGGTCCTTATATTTCTTTCTTTCATTTTTTTTAAGGTGTTATGTTTTCTATTAATTCATTCAAGTAGAAGAAATAAAATATAATTTAAAATTGGTCATTAAGGATTTAAGATTATAAAAAAAAGATAAAATTTTCAATTTGTGGTTTAAGGCCTTAGTTAGAATTTAAAATAGAGAGGCAATAAAGAGGCATAGAAAAATATGCACACTCCCTGGCATGTGCAATTCACACTAGGGTTTGTGCACCTGTGAGAATCCAATACCAGGACTACAGGAGGCAGAGTTCAGGCAGTAATGCTTGATGGCCCCTCACCTCCTGCTGAGCAGCCAGGTTACTTACAAGCCAAAAATCAGGAATGGTCTATGACCCAGAAACTGAGGACCCCTGGTCATGAGGTTATTGAAATAACCTCATTCCATTTATTATTATAAATGGAATTTCTCAGCATGGCTATATTAACATGGGAATAATTCAGTGATTACAATCGTTGGCATTTTAAAATGGGTAGTAAATAATGTCAACAATTGCAATTAATTTTAAGTATTATAACTGCTTATGTTTTTAAATTTAGAAAGGAATATAGCCTGACCAAAAACAAGTTAAGATTTTCACCACAAAATCTTTCCTGTTTGTGTTAAAATATGTCATTAAAACAACTAGGATTTACATGCCTACTGAGCTGATAAATCCCATCACTGACTCATTTTTCCCGATGGTGTGTTCTTCTGACACTGATAATTACTTGCATTATTATAATCACAAGATTTTTTTTCCTCAGCTCTCTTGTACCAAAGTTTCTAGTCTTCACAGGGCAACCAACAAGAAAATGCTAAGCGGAGTCTAGTTTTAATGACGACTTCAGTCTTGCTTTACAGAATTTTTACTCTACAGAAATTAATAATGTTAACATAGCTTTTGGGTTCTAATGCAGTTTCAAATCTCTGAATACTATTATTTTGACCTCAGAAATAACTCTTGGAGTATTACTGAAAAAAAGCCTGCTTAAAATGGTAATGTTTGTTACGAGAAAATAGATAAAAGCTTGAAACATGTTTCTGAGCTGTGTATCACAAAGGCATATACTTGTAAAAGTTTAATCCAGCCTATGAAACTGCTAAGATTACACTTTTCAAAATAAGTCTGTTGTTTTATCATCTGTAATGAATATATTAATTTGGTGAGCTTGTTAAAACTAATACTTCTGAAAATAACCTACAAGTTTAAGACAGGGATATAAATTTTGATTATATCTCAAAATTTATTAAATGACAATTTTCTCAGTGTATGCATGTTTGGTATTATTCTAGTGCTGGATAAAATTACATAAAGCCTTACCTGTGTTTTAGAAATTTTATTGAATAATACATGAATGTTAGTGTAAAACTTACTACAATATTTGATGTAGTTATTACTAACCTTACTTTTACAGCTAAAGAAACTGGAGCTGAAACAATAAGTGACTTGCTAATTAATAACACAAATTTATTAAATGGTAGAATTGAATTTAAAATTATCTCTTGAAGTATACAGTATTTTATTGTCTTTTTCACCTAAATATTATTTATTACCTATATTTATTTAGTGATGTTTAACTGCATTTTTTAGGCTCTCCCAATAAGTTGAAAAACAAATCATAATTTTTATTCTCCTACAACTGATGTTGGATTGGGAACTAATAACTGACAAGTAGAAAAATAAACAAGTTACTCTATTCGATTAACAGTTTTCTATAAATGAGAATACAAGGAACATTTTCTATGTAGTGGTTTTTGAGCTGGTTCTTGAATGATAAGATTTAATAGAAAATGTGACAGAAGAAAAAAAAACACATGCAGTTGGATTCCCAAGAAGAAACAAAATAAAGAATGTGATGAAAGTAATATATTAAGTTGATAATAGCTTAAGTTTTCAAAAATTTGTGAAAAATACCAATTCATAAGATTAAGAAATCCAATGATCTCCATTAGATGTAAAAATTATGAATTTACAAATAGATTATTTTCATAGAAAACACATAAAATATACAATTTTAGAGCAATATTATCACTGGCATACTGCTTTGGAAACATATTTATATTTTTCATAAATGTATACATTCATATTATATTTATATATATTATATATAGGTATGTTTATCTATACCTATATATGCATAAATCACTAAGACTATTTAAATAATAAGACTACCATGTGAAACTTACACTGTATATTTAATCAAAATAGAGAACATAATGGAGTATTTGCAAGGTTGAGGATAATGAAGGTAAAGTGTCCAAAGCTTAGTGTAGGGCTTAGAAATATAATAAAAATGCCAATTACTCTGCAGCTCTACCAAGCCTAGCTTAAGAATGATGCAGGTCAGGCGCGGTGGCTCACGCCTATAATCCCAGCACTTTGGGAGGCTGAGGCGGGTGGATCACGAAGTCAAAAGATCCAGACCATCCTGGTCAGCAAGGTGAAACCCCGTCTCTACTAAAAATACAAAAATTAGCTGGGCTTGGTGGCGCGCACCTGTAATCCCAGCTACTCAGGAGGCTGAGGTGGGAGAATTGCCTGAACCCAAGAGGCGGAGGTTGTGGTAAGCCGAGATCGCTCCATTTCACTCCAGCCTGGGTAACAAGAGCGAAACTCCTTCTCGGAAAAAAAAAAAAAAAAAAAAAAAAAAAAAAAAAAAAAAAAATGATGCAGTTTCTCGTGAAATAATATTGTAATATTACATACAACAATATAAATAACAAGAAAAAACCTATAATTTGGTAAGTGAATAAAATATCCTCAAATAATTAGTCAAAAAATTCTAATTGAAAAGTTAAAATATTTTAACTAAATAATAAAAAAGAAATTCCCATGCATGAACATTAATGCAAGGCTGCTAAAAGAAGTTATATAATTATAGAGGCAAATATTAGTTTAAAAAGGTTTTAACTTATTGAACTAAGGTCTATATTAAGAAGTTAGGAAAATTTGTAAAAGAAAAAATGTAATAAAGATAAAAACAAAAATTAATGAAATAGTATACTAGAAAAAATAAACAATTAAATTTTTGCTTTTAAGAAGATGACAGTGGTACATACCAAGAAAAAATAATAGAGACAAAGATTCCAACTATCATAATTTTGATTCAACACTAAATGAAAGATCCCAAACAGTGTAGTAATTCAAAAGGAAACAAAGAAAGCAAGCTCAGATTTTTAAAGAGGACATAGAACATAAAAAAATGTAGAACATTCAAAAGGATTTATCAGTAAATTTAGGGACATAAAACTGAGTTTAGAAACCTTTCAGGATACAAGATCAACATAAAAAAAATCTAAATTTTTATAAACAACTTGGCAACGTAAGTAGATACATATATTTTTTTTAACTTCAGGAAAACATATCAAAAATTAGAAAAAGACTCAACAAAATGTGAAAGGCACATATAACAAAATTATGAAACTGAGGACAATTAGAAAATTAAAAAAATAGCTAGTTAACAAGAAAGGCATTATGTATACAGATGGAAGTACTTAGCATTAGAATGAGGCTCATTGTACCCAAATTAATCTAAGAGTCAATTCATTATTACCCAAAATTCTAAAAAGTAGACTGTAAAACATATATGTAAACAAAATAAGTAAGAATGGTGAAAATGCTTTTAAAGAAGAGAAAACATAATATTTTCTCTTCCAAATATCAGGAATTATTATAAATCTGAAATAATTACCATAGCACAAATTAAGATAAGGATAAATAAAATAAACCACTAAATAGAGCAGAAGACATGAACTACTTTTTAAAAATAGGTACTGAGTTATTTACTATTTATACATAGAAATAAATAAAACTTGACACCTATTTTCTGTCTGCACAAAATTCTATTCTAGATGAATTGTATGTTTAAATCCAAATCTAAGTTGCATATCTAAACTGTATAGTACAATAAATAAAAATATGCTTTTTCCCTGTAGATAGTTTTCTAAACCAATAGGCATAAAAGCACTTATCAACAATGTAGTGATTAATGAGCTAAACCTATATGAATATTAAAAACATCATGACAAACCCGAGAAGATAGTAAAAAACATCCTTTTTACTACACATTAGCAACTTATATAATTAAAATATTATCAATACAATATAAGAAACACAACTATATATGTGAAAATTAACATGAGATCGTAGCTACATTTAAAAAAGAAAATATTCTAAAGCCTAATATGGAAAGGGCCTCACCATCATTACTTACCACGAAATCAAACTAAAAAATGCTATGGACCTACAATTATAAATAAAATTCCAAAGATTGAAAAAATAAGTAACTTATAGGAATGTGAATCAAAAGATTTTTTTGATGAAACAGTAAATTAAATTATTATAGCTACTTTGTAAAAATCTCTAAAATGTTTAGGATTGTCTACTGAAACTGAACAAATATATATTCATAAACATATGCTCATCTGCACCATGAACTATGTATTAGAAAGTTCTGTGGAACTTCATTATTTCAGCTAAAACCTGGAAACAACAAAATATTTGGGGATGACACAATGTGAAAGTAAATTAGATATATTTCAGGTATCAATTTAAAATTAATTTAAAAACTCAGTGGACCTAGTCCCCATTAAAATAATTTAGTTTTTAAAAAGTAAATTGGGATAAATTACACAATGGAATGATATTTAGCAATAAATAATAATGAAGTCCTACAAACTGTTTACAAATATAAATCTCACCAATATAATTTAATCAAAGAGGTCAGGCACAAAGAAGCACAAACTTCCTAGTTTCTTTGAGGTAACATTTACCAGCATGCAAAAGCAAACCGTAATTTTAGGTATAAATACATAGATTAAAATTCTATTTTGAATTCAGAGGATACATATGTTAAAAAAAAAAGTATTTACCTTAGGAGGTAAATAGTTACTTCAAAAAAACAAGCTATATGCTGATTATATAGATAAGGTTGAAAGAGGAGTTA